TTTTCCGTCCTGATGCACGACGACAATTCATTTTCGCGGAAACCCTTCTTATTTTATCGTTTCGGAGTGATCCGACCCCCACGGGACTTCGCGACAACAGTTCGACCCTGGGGAAAACCTCTGGCACGAAACGAATGCCTCCCGTTCCGTCCAGGAGACTCAACCCTTACGGCCAAAAATCCTCGGCCACGCCCCTCCTAGAACTCTGATCGGCGACCCCGTACGGGACATCTCGAGGGGGCGTGAGGTTGGTATCAGAGCTGATTCGTTTCGGCTCCGAGGTTTTCCTAGGACGAATACCCTGCTTAAGAGTTTTCCTTTTTTTTGATCTTTCTTTTTAGATTTTTCTCATTTTTGAGTAGGCTGGCTCCCCGTCACCGACGGCCCGCGAATAGCAATCAGAACCGAGCGAGAGGCCAGGCTCGAAACCCGCCTCCCGCGATGGTGGAGCCCGGAATTGGGGGTGAAAACGACGGTGATAACCACGCGGGGATGGTCAATCATCCCCTGTACTTTGTACCTCCTCCTTCCGAAGTTCCCATTTTCTCCGAAGATGATACCGACCCTCGCACCTGGCTAGCTGCCTTGAAAGCCCAGGGCTGGTCGGACGAGTTGCTCCGAGATCGAATCCCCGGAAGGTTAGCCGGAACCGCTTTTGAGTGGCATGGACATAACCCCTTCACTAATTGGCTAGCCTTCCATAGGAAATTTCTCGACAGATTTGATCACATCGCACCAGGTCAATGCCTCCGTCTAATAAAGGAATACACGCAGCAGCCTCGGGAGACCTTGGCTAGATATGTTGAACGTTTTACGTACCTAGCCGAACGCTCTGGGGTGGACGAGAAAATGGTACGGACTGATTTCGTCAGAGGATTGTCAGATTCTCATCTGCGGAAAAAGATCCGCAAGAAATGCAACCCTATAGAACATACCCTGACGGAGCTAATTCAGTACGCAATTAAGTACGGGAAAGAAAATTACGATGTGGGCCTGGACTCAGAATCCGACGAGGATGACCCTTCGGGGGTTCGACGCAATAGCTACTCCGCTACGGCACGAATGTTCGAATATCGCTTCGGGTTGGGTCCGGAAAAAAAAGGCCTGGATCGGAAAGCTTTTTCCTCTGCTTCGACCTCCCATCACTCTAGTCAAGCACAAGGAGGCCGGGGTGAGGAAGAAGTGTCCATGAAAGAGGTCGCGGCCCAATTAGTTACGGTAGTGGCCCCGATGACGGAGTTTGTTCAGGGCCTGCAGCGGCAACGCCTAGCCGCCGCACAACGGCAACAAGCGGCTATGGCCGCCGGGGCCCCTATGATAAGAACGGTCGTGGCCGGGGCTGTCCCGGCCCTACGCTGTTATAACTGTAATCAGCCAGGTCACCTTGTGAAAGATTGTCCGAAACCTCGAACTCAGGGCGGGCCCGCTGGGCCTTCTCAAATCCCGCTGCCTGCTCCAACCGCTGCAGAACAGGGGAGGGTGGCCACGATGATGGATAACGGGGCAACGGAAATGGTGACCCCTGCGGCCACCGAGATAGGGGCCGATGAATACATGGCTGCGGCGATGTTCGAACCCGGGACCATCGGAGTGATACGTCACATCCAACGGATTACCGCGGAAAGCGACCTTGGGCCGTGGTGACCAGGGTTCGAAGACCTTGCGGCACCTGGTCCTGAACACAAGGATGGCCATATCGACGTATTGGATGCCTTGAAGGCTCTGGATCTTTGGATCCCCGTCCCTATTCCCTATCTGCTAACCATTTCCGAAGCGGCTAACGAAAAGCTGATCGAACAATGCCTCAAAAACTGGCGCGGATTCAAGGAAAGTCGAAAGGGCAAAAAGTCGGTCCTACGGGACCTACCCACAAACGAGGAGTCGTAGCCCTCGACCTCAAAGGTGCACGAAACCGACCGGATAGGAATGATGCAGACCATAGACTCTGCCTCGGAAAAACCCGAGGTATTCCTCCGAGCCTATCCTATAACCTGGAAAAGCGTTGAGTGTGACTGCGAGGTTTGGGGAAATCCCCCGGCCGCCATCCTAGACTCGGGATCGTCAGCGGTCGCCATTTCTTGGAGATTGACGAAACAGTTGGGAAGGGAAGGATAGGTTCAGCCCCTCCGACCGGATGAACTGTATATATCCGCTACGGAAGCAGTATTCATTGTAAAGGGCGAATAACGAACGTGCCTATACGGGTAGGGCGGGTGCATTGTTTGTGCGACGTAATCGTGTTGGATGTACAGGCGTACGATGTTCTGCTAGGCATTCCGTGGCAGGCGGCGGTCGGAGCACGAATGCACTTTGACAGTTGTAAGGTGGTGCTCACATCGGCCCACCCCAAACCCCAAACGATACCAATGAGACTGGCGGTGCGCATGCGCACCCAGCCGGCGCCTCGACTCACCACGAAAGCCCATCAAATCAACATGATCCGACGCCTGTCACCAGATAAAAATGAACCCTTGACAGCAACTGACGAGACTGATGTACCCGACCGATATCCGATCCGAGTTCAGGATCGCTGGCGCCATTCTTGGCGGCGAGAACCACTGGAAAAAGTTCGGAGCGAGTCCAATTGGTCGCACGCGTTCTCCTCCGTGGTGCAGGGGAAACCCCTGCCGAGGGTGTCCCGAATAGCTGACCTTTCGGAACCCCCTACGTCCCTGTACCTCAGGACGGACCCCCTACCTGAAAGATTTACCGAGCTTAGGGGGCTGTGCGATTTATCTTTTCGACCTCCACGGCCCCTACTCACGAATGAAAAAGCCGCGATACTCCTGAAAGAGGGGGTGTCGTTTCAACCCCGAACAAGGGAATATCGGTGGGGACGGAGGGAACTGACGCAGGCCTTTTCGGTAGAACCCTCGGTCGAACCCTAACTGGACAGTGACAGTGACATGGAAAGCGAGTCAGTGAGTCCGGCGGACAGTCAACTTATTGCGACTGTCCTTTCGACGAAAACCGACAACTCTTTGTTTGGGGCCTTGCCCGATACCAGCGCGGCGGTCCCCACGGTTACGACGACGGTCGCCCTTCCTGGGGGAACCGTAGAAGTCCAGTTACCATCCCGTGTTCCGGATGAATAAAGACGCCTCCTCCTGGCGGTTATACGGGCCTATTCTGAGGCCGTCAGTATTCAGGACCACGACATAGGGCTAACCCCTTTTATACAGCACGCGATTGATACTGGGGATCACGCCCCGATACATTGCCGACCGTACCGATATTCCCTTAAAGAAAGACAGCTGGCGTTGGAAAGGGTACGGGAATTCGAGCGGTTGGGGTGGGTCGAACCATCGCTGGGACCGTGGTCTTTTCCCGTGGTCTTCGTGCCAAAACGAAATGGTTCAGTCCGGGTATGTATCGAATACCGGAAATTGAATGTTATCACTACCAAAGATGTGTATCCCTTGCCGCGAATCGACGATTTGTTAGATGCTATCGGGGTCTCGCGAGTCTTTTCCAAGTTCGATATCCGATACAGTTTTCACCATGTCGCGGTCCGACTGGAGGACCGACCCAAAACCGCTTTTGTCCTATTTGAGGGCACGTGGCAATGGGTCCGGTATCCCATGGGAATTTGTAACGCCCCTGCAACGTTTCAGCGGGCCATGAATATGGCCTTCGCTGAGTTCGTTAACAAAACCCGACTAACCCAGCCCCTGATCAATTTTTGTGTGATTGTGTACATGGATGATATTTTGGTCTTTTCAAAAACACATGAGTACCACGTGGAATACATTGAGTGGGTTTTGCATGCACTAAAGGATGCGGGGTTCAAAGTGGCCTTGGAAAAAAGCGAGTTCTTCTTGTCGGAGATCTCATTCTTGGGGTACATCGTCACGGTCGATGGACTAAAAACCGGATCCGAGGAAGGTGGCAGCAGTTCAAGAAGCCCCGGCGCCGGTCACACTCACCCAGGTTCGGGTTTTTCTAGGGCTGACATCCTATTACCGACGCTTCATGAAGGGGTTCGCCGGCATAGCGAAGCCCCTCACGAACCTGTTGAAGAAAGAGGAACAGCTGATCTGGAAGCCGGAATGCGAAGCGGCATTTCAGACGTTGAAGGAGGCTCTGACATCTGCTCCTGTGTTGGCGCGTCCCGACCCGACAAGACCGTTCGCACTGTACACCGACTGGCAGCCTCAGGCGATATCGGCGGTGCTGACTCAGCACGGGGCGGACGGAAGGGAACACGTCATTGAGTATGTGTCCAAGACGTTGAGCCAGGCGCAGGCTAATTACGCAGCATGCGAAGGCGAATGCCTGGCGGTGGTGTGGGGGATCCAGCATTTCCGACCGTATCTTTACGGCCAGAAATTCGTGCTGGTAACGGATCATCGGCCGCTGCTGTCCCTACGCAACAACACGGACTACACGGGGACGCTGGGCAGGTGGGCGGTGCGTCTGCAAGACTATGACTTCGACATCCGCCACCGTGCCACGCGGCAGCATGGTAACGCCGATGGATTGACGCGCCTCCTGCCGCCCAATAAGTGTCCCGCCAACGAGCGACTCATTCCGTGGAGGCCAGAAGTCACAGCGACGAAACCGCACTACGGGGAGCTACACGTGCTGTGCAAGAACGACGCCTGAGTCCGGAATAGAGGTTTCGCCGGAGATGGCAGACGCTATCTCTTTGCCCTCATCCAACTCCCTCGCTCTCTAGTCTAGTCCCTACTAGTCCCCTGAAACACATCTAAGTCCCTGTTTTTTTTGTGCCTTGCCTATGGTCCCGGACCAAGAAGGGTCACATCTGGGAGGGCCCAGTTTTCTTTTGTGGGTGCAGTGTAGTCGGTGTCACGCGGTCATGTCCCACGGACAATGCGTTCGGTACCGAAGTGAAAAGACGTGGGTCTGTCCCAACTGTAGAACGGACCAAGTCCCTACCGAGAAACGGTATCTGGATGCACGAACGGTCGACGGATTTGCACCACGTGTCCGCCGGGCAGAAGTCTGGACAGGCCTTCTGTTGCTACGGAGGTTGTCAGGCGACTCGCTGTCAGAACTTACCAAAGTCGAGCGGCGGAGAGTCACAGAGCGGGCACAGGACTATCGCTGGCGGGGACCGACGTTACAAAAACGAAAAGTCGATGATGACGGAGGGTCTAACTGGTTGACGGTTCCGCACCCTTTCGCTAGGTTCGATTGGACACGAGCCGCTCATGAAGAGGATGCGGTCCATTTCGCGGTAAAGTACACGGAAAAAGCCATCGAAAAGAACGGATGGTACTGGTCGGGAATTCGAGAAGATGTGAAATACACCGTTCAGAATTGCCCGGCCTGCGTTGCGGACAAGGCGTCGGTACAGATGCCTCGGACGATGGTGCCCACTCGTGTAGAGCGCCCCTTTCAGAGGGTTAGCATCGACACGACGGATATCAACGTTCCGAGAGGTCCCGTCGATCAGGGAGAGCTCAATGTTCTTTTAGTGGCCGTCGATCATTTTTTGAAATGGATCGGGGCGTACCCTATGTCCAGCCGGAATTCGCAGGAAGTAGCTTGGTACGTAAATCGATTTTTGTGCATGCATCTAGACGTAGAAGAGGTACACATGGACAATGGGTCGGAATTTCAAGGCGAAGCAGAACGTCACCTAGTCAGGGCGGACGTTAAGATTATCTACTCGCCGGGGTATTGGCCTTAAGCCAATGGCCTGGTAGAGAATGCCAACCGACTGATTAAGACCGCCCTTAGACGGAATATCAGTGCGGGGGACACCCGACCCTGGCCGGTCATTGTCGACCACATCTAGGCCGTTTATCAGGCTACCCCACACGGTAGTACTGGGGTGTCCCCCTTTCAACTGAGAACCAATAGTGTCCCTCGGGTGCAATTGTCCCCATTAGTAGGTACGGAAGTTAGAGCAACATGGGCCCAGAACCGAGATAAGGCCCGCCACTACATGGACTTAATGGCTAGGGCCTATCCCCCGTTAGCTCGCCGTCGACAGCAAGCCGTAGATCGGACACATCAACGGCAGATCCGTGACTACGAGAATCAACACGCATCGGCTGGACCACTGCCGCGCTATAAAGTTGGGGACTTGGTGCAGGTACGAAAATCTGCGCGCTCCTCCAAGATCCACCCGCGCTACACAGGCATTTACGAGGTCACGAAAGTTGGCGCACAAGGACAGCACTCCGTGAGGCTGATTCCCCGTCACAACTCCCAGGCCCGACCGCTGACACGGCACGCTGCCGCACTCCGGCCCTTCCAGCCGTCGCCAGGTCCCCTACGGACCCCCGCTCCTGCGAGATCACCCTCTCCTTCTTCATCCTCCTCCTCTTCCCGATCTGCCTCGTCCATTGGTGCTGAGAGTTTCAGGGAGCAGGATGAACCATCGCCAGCCGGAGCATGAGCCCCTCGAGCATTTCCAGACGCCGCATGCAGATCGCTTGTTGCGGCATCGGTTCAATGAGGAAAGGCGGTTGCGGTACGACATTCAGCAGGTGAGTGTGTCAGCGCCTGGGGTTGCTGATTTGGCGGCGTACTCGTTGCTTTGGGATCGGCTGACATATGCGGGGGTGTACGTGGACGTGATGCAGTTGCCTAGCCAGGAGACGACTCGAGTATTCATTGAGTTCCGCGCGCTCCAGGTGGCACCCAATTTCGTGCACAGCGTAGCCACCTTTATCGGAGACTTGACGATCCTACCGCAGCCGAATCGGGAGCCGGTGCGAAGCTTTGTGCGCGAATACGCGGTGGAAGTGGCCAGATCAGTGGCCGGATTGCAAGGACGCAGGGGACTCCGATTCACAGCCCACGAAGTGCTGCTGCGCAGGGAAGAGGACGGACCAATTGCGTTGGTGCCACAGCTCCCCGCGCTTCTTCCTCCCGCTGCTCCTCTCAACTTCCAAGCTATTCCCCCTGTCCCGTACTAAATGCCTCCCTTCTTTTCTTACACCAACCTCCCCTGTCAGCTCACGGAGGGCCCTTATCCCATGCGTGAGTTCTCGGAGTATGTGGTGGAGCTCACTGACGTGGAGCCGCTGCCCTCCGCCGACGAAGACGCGTGGGAGTTGCACCGTGCGCTGTACAAGTCGGTGGCGCTGAGGATGTTCCGGTTCTTCGTGGATCACGAAGACCACTGCATCGGGGAGCACTTCGTCGTCTACTATGTCATCACACGGCCCAAGCCAGCGGAGAAGGAAGGGACGGTGGCGCTGTACCCATTCGCCCAGCTCCAGACGATCGATCCGGGATTGTTGGAGCTCATACATTTTGAGCTCCTCTCCATTGCGCAAGTGATCGCGAGCGAGGAGGAGGAGATCCAACCACGATTGCGGACGGCGACGGCCCCGTGGAGAACGTACAACGCGGTCGTCATCCCGGATTACATTGCGCAGCGCGCGGAGAGGTTGGAGGACTTCCCGGAGGAAAAGCCGTTGCGGCCTCCCTCGTCGTATCCTCGACCGGCACCACCAAAGGCCCCCAAGAAGACGCCGAAGAGAAAGAGATGCCACTCGTCGCCAGGAGCGCAAGGCAACAGGATCGGCGGCGGTCGGGAGGTGATTCAGCCCGCGCATACGCGGAATCCTGACCCTGTGCCTGGGAGTGAGGCGACGCTCGTTAAGGAGATTGTCGTGCCATCGCCGCCCTTTCCGCGTGTGCCCGATCTCAATCTTGATGGAGCCGGGTCATCAGCAGCAGCAGCAGGCAGAGGAGGAAGCCGAATGGGATTTCCGGATCCCATATCTAGACCCCCCGTCCTCGCGGGACCTCTCCGTTCCCGCCAGCCACCCCGGGGTGCCTCGGTCATTGACATTAGTAGTTCCTCCGAGCGAGACGGTCCATCCGACAGAGGTGGACTTCATGGTGGAGCCCGCCACCATCAGGCTCGAGGCCATCGCGGGGGCGCCACGCCCTGATCCGGCATGGGAGCCATATCTGACACCCCCTTTTCAAGGGTGTATTGCGGTGCGATTGGCTGGGACGCTCATCTACGAGACCAGGCAGCGTCCCAATGCGATGTACCACTTCCTTGTCTTCGCGGCGCAGAAGCGGGAGCGGCAGCCTTACACCGAGACGCATGTGGTGATAACGGGTCCAGGGCCCCGATCGGTGCGCAAGCGGGTGGTGCGAGCAGTGGCGGATCTGGCGCCACATGTCCTGTCTCATGTGCCGGGGGCTTTCCTCTATCCCTCGTTCGTGCAGCACCACTTCCTGGAGGAAGATGCGCCAACGACTCCCGCGGCGATGGCCGCTTTTCTTCCGCCTATTCCTCCCCCTCTCAATCCCGACATAGATCACTTCCTCTGATCACCCCCGTCTACCTCTCCCCTGTTCTCTCCTTCTCCTTCTCTTTATCGTCTTCTTCGACTATCTCCAAAGTTCGCGCGTCAAGACGCACTGTGTAAAAAAAAAAAAAAAAAAAAAAAAAATTGAGAACTACTTACCGATCGGGC